TTGATAAGACATCAGAAGCTATTGCTTGGCTTCAGGAAATCCTTGAGTCCAATGGAAGTTGTTGTAATACTAATCTAGGAGTTCGTGTGTATTGATTACAAACTTGGAAATTTTGCAGCTGTCATAAGCCAGCTGCACTAAAGAAAATCCAGATACTGGAAGACCCTCTGTTTGTGTCCTTAATGTTTATTGGTCTGGTAATTTAGCTGTGGCATCTCTATTAGTGATACTGCAATTTGAAAATTACCTCAATTTGAAAATTATCTGGGAACAAAACTCCTTACAGTGCACCCCACCAGACAGCTCTCCCTTTCTATGGACCTCTGCAGGTGAAACAGAGAAAGTGGTGTCTGATCAAGAGTCTTCTCAGAGGTGTCTTAGGGCCATGCCTGGGACCGTTTTTGGAATAGGGTGCAGCAAGTATGTGTGGCAGACTGAGCTGTGACTGTTAGAGTTAGCTGGAAAGTAAGCCAAGTGTGTTCCTGCAGCACACACAAACCAAGATCGTCAAGGAAATAGGAAAGTAGTGTGAAAGATAGAGTCAAAGTAAAGGCTCGCCACTTGGGGGCTTAATGGGTCTATTAAATGGGGCTGCTGTGCTTGAAGTACATTTTGAAAAAATGAATCAGTTAATTAGAAGTACATTTTTAGAGTTTATATTATTTTTGGAGTCCTGGTATGGCACTGTAGGGTAAGCACTAGACTGCTAATCGCAAGAAGGTGGTGGTTCAAACCCACCAATTGCTCCTCAGAAGCCCTATGTAGGGTTGCTATGAGTCAACCAACTCAGTGGCACTTAATAAAAACAATAACAATTGCTATTTTTACCTCTGAAAACAAAATTTGTGACTAAAAATACGGTGTTGAGCTATCCACTTTTGTTGATAGAGCCATTACTGTATTTCATTTTTCATCTTGAACCACTCAGGTTTTGGGTTTTTTTTTAACTACTCAGTTTTAACTGCTGATTCTTGGTTTCCAGCAGCCCCTGGAGCCCTGGCATTTTGCCTCATCAACACAAGAGTGCCATCTGTAGTGAGAGTATCTATAGGCTCTCCAGTATAGAAGGAAGGGTTTGTTTGTTTTGCCTTTTTGCTTTCCAGAGCCTTTTCTAGGAATGCATTATGGTGAAAGTGAGAACTGACTGTGTTGCCAGATATTTGTGTTCATGGTGCAAAACTGAAAGCTTCCACAGCCCTGGTGGACAGTGTGCTATCTGGTGATAAGCAGGGACAGAGAAAGCCAACATTCCCTTTGGAATCCTCAAGTGGCGTTCAAGCTCCTGATCATGCTTAAAGAGGAGTCATATTGCCCATAAGCATTAAGGCCCAGGGGACACGGTAGCTTCTTAGGATATTTCATCAGGCAACCAGCAGCCCCCTTCATGTTAAATAGCAAGAGAAAATCCCCACCAATTATGTCTTCTCGTTCTTAAGCCAGTCAGTAGTATCAGATATGTGTGGAAAAGAGTGGAGAATCAGTAGGCTATCGGAGGAGCCATCTGGTGTTAACAGAGGGATAGCCATGAGCTGCTAGGACAGAATTGCTGTAAGGACACCTTCAGATGGGGTTTACACTAAGCCAGTGTGCTTGATGGAACTCCTACACTGGGCCTGGTGCTAAGCGCAGCTTGAAAATAAAGAAAAGGCATTATTCTTGCAATATAAGGAAATATATGGTCTAATTGGGGAGATAGTAAATGTACAAATTTACACACACACAAAAAAAGCTAACTTCTCAAAGTAGTAAATAACACATGAGTGGTTCTTAGATAATTCAGGGTCCTTGATGTGACATCCAGGAAATAGAAATAGGTACAGCTTTTGAACCAAGACTTTAGCATGACAATTTAGCAAAGAAGCAAACTAAAGGCCAGTGGTCTAGCGCCAGAGATATTGGTCGCTTATATATCATTTTCAGCCACCACTATACTCACGGTTGGCAGTCATTTAATCAGCAGTACTTCTGGTGTGGTGCAGTAGGGTCACCACTAGACTGTGAACCACAGTGTCAGCAGTTCACATCCATCAGCTACTTCTCAGAAACCCTATATACAGGGTCGCCATGAGTTGGAACTGACTCAACGGCACTTAATATCAACAATAATAATTCAAACACGAAGGCCTGAGACAAATGTGTGGTACGGATTCAATTCAGAATCTGAGGCCAAGACCTTCAAAACGGTGTCACCTGGAGCTGAAGGAAAGGCCACCTGAACAGGAGGCAGGATAAAGAAAAGATTAGGAGGGCTTGGGGAACAGTTGAAGATTTCTGGAAGCGACAGTAGCAGAACCAGAGGTCTTAACTATCACAGATTGCCAAGGTTGGTGGGATTGATCATCTTAGCTGGGTAGGTATCCCCTCTTGCCTTGAGGATTCTCAGGACTCAGTCTGCCTGGGTGGGTTGAGGCAGCAAGGGCAGGGAGTGGGCGACTTGGCTGAGGTTGAGCCCAAAGGTTGAGCCAGGCCCTCTCCCTGGGATGTGAGCCCTCTGGGTCAGGAGCAGGGTTAATCTGGGGAAACCTACAGGGAGCACCACGCCTGGCTCATTACTGAATGTCTGGAGAGGCCTTTGAAGATGAAACAACTCCATAAGTACTCATTGTTTCTGTTTTTTGGACGAACTAGTACTTTGGTCTCCAGGGGCTGTTGATCTGGCTTTTTTGCAGGAGGCTGGAATTTTCTGCAAACTGAAAAGAGTAGGAAAAAAAAGCAACCAAACTCCTGTTGGGTTTTTGGAAAAAAAACAAAAAACAACCAAACTCCTGTCAAACTCCATGTTTTAGTTCGTAAGTAGGCTCCCTCCCCATCTACCTTTCACATTCTTGGGTTTGGGTGCACTCTGTCTTGACCTGTTCCTTCGCCTGCTGGGTTTGGGGTGTGTGTGTCTCTCTTGGGTTCCTAGACTCTATAGAGAATGCCAGCAGCTGGCATATGTGATTGCTGAATAATCTGCCCGCTGACGCATGCCTCCTGCAGGCATGGAGAACTGGCTGGTACTGGTGATTCTGAACCCCCATTTCAGTATTGTTTCAAAGAGGCATTTCTGTGACTGCCGTGTGGTAGGAGAGGGAATGAATGCCAGAATCTCTGATTCTGTTGTTGGAGGCAGTGGCTGGGCAGATAGACAGTTTGTGCCTTCACAGTGGTGATTTTGCTCTCCTTCATTCTTTCAGCAGGTAAGTGCCTACATTGAAGCTACCGTACCAGGCATAAGTGTCCAATCTGAATGAGCTGTTAGTGAGTCCAGAGGAGACCTGGGAGTTAGCTCACTTACTCAACTGCCGTGTGCCAGGCACTATTTTAGATATTGGGGACACAGCAGTGAATTAGAATGGGCAAGGAGCTGGCATGGTAGGAAGAGTAAGATAGTGCCGCAGGAAACAAATACGTAATATGGTGGATGGTGTTAAGTGCTATGAAGAAAAGGAAAGTGGGACAAATGGGGTAGCAAGTGGAGTGTGTGTATGTGTTTCATATAGGCGATTATGGAAGGCTGTGTTGATAAGGTAACATTTGAACAGACACCTGAAGGAAATGAGTGAGTAATCCATGTGCCAGCAGGAGGCATGCATCATTGGGCAGCTTACTCAGCAATCACGAGTATCTGGGAAAAGCAGCATTACAGGCAGAGGGACTAGCAAATACAAAAGCTTTGAGGCAGGAAGACATTGGGGAATTTGGAGTAGAGGAAGCAAAGGAGATGAGATGAGTAGGGGGAGTGCCGATCCTATAGGACCTTGTAGGCCAGAGGATGACTTTTGGATTTTGCTGAAAGGGAGACACCAAAAGAGCATTTTTAATAGAAGGAGCTGCGTATCTTGATGATATGCCACTGCGGGTTAATGCACTGTAATACAAGGTTGGCCTGAACCACAAGGTTTGTTGGTTCAAGCTCACCAGCTGCCCCTTGGAAACCCTATACAGGGTCGCTATGGGTTGGAACCAACTCTAGGCCACTTAACGACAACATCAACAGTAAAAATGTGGAGAATGGGTTGAAAGGGGTTAGGGAAGAAGCAGGGAATGGGAGGAATACCTAATTTCAGGTAAATATGTGAAGGAGCTCTGGTAGCGTAGTGGTTACGAATCGGGCTGCGAACCTTAGGGTCAGCAGTTCGAAACTACCAGCTGTTCCACGGGAGAAAGAGGCGGTGTTCTGCTCCCGTAAAGATTTACAGCCTTGGAAACCCTGTAAAGGGTCGCTATGAGTCGGACCGACTCCACGGCACATTACAACACAACAACAACCTGTGGAGTAGCTTTCCTTGGATGGACCACAGCAGAGCCAAGGATTTACCCAGCTCAGAGGGAAGGGTGGACCACTCCCTCCTCCTTCCTCCACAAACTCACAAGTGCAACATTCAGTATAAATAGGGTACGACTTAGCAGTCAGCATTTACAGAAAGGCAAGAGCAGCCTCTGAGGTGTGCTGCTGTCCTCTTACTCCTTCACTTACTTTGGTGTGTAGAAAGAAGAAATTATAGAAAAACGGGACTGGAACAAACAGATTCTCTTGATTAGAGCCGAGAACACAAACCCTTGGGAGCCTGGCAAGCCTGAACCTTGTCAGGAGTCACAGAGAACCACTCCTCATTCCACTCCCTCCTCTCCCACCCTTTCTAAAAGTCTCAGGGTAAGGTTGGGGGAGGGAGGGGCATTGGTGATGTTCCCACAGTGCCTTGGGGGGTACAGTGTAGAATGTCAGAACTGAAGGGACTTTAGAAATCATTTTGTCCAATTGCCTCTGTTTACAGGAGCAGATAATGGAAAGGTGACATAACCTACCAAAGTCCCACAGTTAAATTAGTGGTAGAACAGAGGTCCTAAGAGTTCACTGCTTTGTGTCTGCTCCCAAAGTACTCTAGATGTGTCTGAGTGCTCCTTGATGTTCGGTTTCTCCTCAGGCTCTCAGTTTCTCATGAGTGGACTCTAGCCATGACTTGGGCAAACCCTATTTACATGAAGTCTTGACAAGCATTTGCATTTCCTTTGCCTAGGGTCAAGTCCTCCTTTCCAGGGACGAAACCAAACCAGACTGCCATTGCCCCCACTTGGGCTCCACTGTCGTCAAAAAGCAACTGCTGTGATCATGGGTAATATCTTTGGAAACCTTCTCAAGAGCCTGATTGGGAAGAAGGAGATGCGCATCCTAATGGTGGGCCTGGATGCTGCCGGAAAGACCACCATCCTGTACAAGCTGAAACTGGGAGAGATTGTCACTACCATCCCCACCATTGGTAAGGGCACAGCTTGGATGTGGGCTCTCATGCCAGTGGCTGAGTAAGGGCAGGGGACCTATTTCTAGATTTCCCACTGGCTGCTTCTCCCTGAGCAAGTCCAAGCACTTTGTGATGCTTAGATAGGGCACTTGTTTAGCTCACTAGCAGGTGCTGGGACTGCCATTTGCCCTCCTTGATGCGGGAACTTCCGCAGCTTGGCACTCAACAGTTGCCCTCAGGCACCAGAGTTGGTTTGTTCTCTGTGTTGTTTGAGAAGCAGGTGAAGAGCTTTGATGTTTCAGCCAGAGGCCTGGAATTGCTTTGGTTTAGATCTTTGGTGGCCCTCATCCTGGTTAAGACCTGTTGATGGGAGGAGAACATTTACCATGTGATTGGGGCTCCAAATGGTCAGCTGATTCTGCATTTGGGGCTCCAGGACTATAGCTTACTTGACTCTTCACTGTGCCTCTCAGGCCCCTCTTCTTAGACTTAGCTTAGGCAGACTGGTAGCCAAGGTGCAGGAATGGGGTCAACCTACTACTTCTTTGTAGGAGGGAATGATTGGGGAAAGCTGGCTCAAGTTTATCCAGGCAATTGTGAATCTTCTGGCTGGCCCTCTTTATCCTTACCCACTGCCCTTTGGTTTTCTTTTTGGCCGTCATAGTTCTAGTTAAGGAACATCAGGTCTGGAGAAATCTTAGCTGCTTTCCATTGCTGCGGTAATGGCAAAGGCGGGGGAAACAGAAGCGAAGCCATCAACACATTGTTTGCAGGCCTGGTGTTTTGAGATTTTGTGGTCATTACTTACTTTTTCCAAAGGGTTCAATGTGGAGACAGTGGAATACAAGAATATCAGCTTCACAGTTTGGGATGTGGGTGGCCAGGACAAGATTCGACCTCTCTGGAGACACTACTTCCAGAACACCCAAGGTATGGTGTATGAAATGCCCAGGGATGGGCACACACTGTGTGATCAGTGTTACTGTTTACCTTGGTCATGAGCAGCCAGTCCTTGCTGTGCCACAGCTTATGGGGGTGGGAGAAAGAAGGTGCAAAGGGAACAGATACTTGGGTGTGTCATGAGGCCGTGTTGTTTTTTTGGTGGTGGTGAGGGTGGGGGAGAGGTCTTCTGTCATCCCTGTGCAGCCATTCTCTGCCTCTCTAGGGTTGATATTTGTAGTGGACAGCAACGATCGAGAAAGAGTAAATGAGGCCCGGGAGGAGTTGATGAGGATGCTTGCAGAGGATGAGCTCCGGGATGCTGTGCTTCTTGTTTTTGCAAATAAGCAGGTACGTCTCCCCACCTCTGGATTTGGGAGAGGGTCATCTGCCATGGCAATCATGGGGCCTTGGGGTCCATTGTATGGGAAATCCTGTGACGTCTGCATTCTGGAAGTGTGGGGGAAATTCAGCTTCTTTACACCCATCTTCTTGTCCCCTAGCTCATCTTTTTTTTTTTTTTTAGCATCGTTGCAGTTCTCGGGAATTGTGTGGTAGATACATTACCTCGGATCCCTCTTTCAGCTTCCCTGTTTTCTACTTTGCTGGAACTGCCCCTTGCTCCTAGGGCCACACAGGCCTAGTCCTCTGCCTAGTCTGAATGATCGCTCTACTTTTTTTACCAGCTCCATTTTTGGTTTCCAGCTCCCCAGTAGGATGACTTCTAATGCCAGGAGTTCTAGGATGACTAAATCCAAAATGGTTTCCTAATATGAAGGGTTTCTAACGTGAAGAGGAGAGGAGAGGGTACTAATTTCTGTCTCTTTGGTAGGTGATGTCAAAGAAACCTTCGAAAGTTTCTGAAACTCTTTTTTGTTCATTTCTCTTGTACTCCAGGACCTGCCTAATGCTATGAATGCTGCTGAGATCACAGACAAGCTGGGCCTGCATTCCCTTCGTCATCGCAACTGGTACATTCAGGCCACCTGTGCCACCAGTGGGGACGGGCTATACGAAGGCCTGGACTGGCTGGCCAATCAGCTCAAAAACAAGAAGTGAGAGCCAGGCAGCCCTGTCGACCACCCACCCACCCCCAACAGACCTGTTTCCCTACCCTTTCTTTCCCATTGCAAGTGTGGCCAGGGCCCTGGGTATCATGTCCAGATGCCTAGAGAGAGCCTTGCTCCAGTCCTCACCCTCACCTTTCCCTCCCTTGTCCACCGACATGATCAATCCACTTCCCCAAATGCTGTCCTGATGAATCATTCCAATTTACTGGATTTAAAACAAAAACAAGATTGTTATGGTTTCATGGGATGGCCCCCTCTCTCTTTCTCACCCCTAGGGTTCGGGGGATAGGGTGGAGTGGGGTAGTCTCTCTTTTGCTTCATTTGGCTCTGGTTGCTGTGTTCTTAGCATCTGAGCCCTTTCCTTGTCCCCTTAAGCCCCCCTCTGGCTCTTCCTGCCTTCCCTTTCTTTGCCACCCTCTCCCTATTCTACATGGAAATTGCACGGGCCTCTGTGTGTGCGTGCATGTGTGCGCGTGTATATACATGTATAGAGATATATATATGTAGGGACCAGGGAGAAGGGTGGAGGGGTGGAGTAGCTCAGGGCTTAGAGCCAGGACACTGCCCACTGTACCCTATCCTCCACCCCTCCCATGTCTGTGAGATAAAGGGAAGAAGATGTCAAGAGTTTTAGTTAGACTGGGCTTCCCCAGTTGTGGACTGGTTCTGTCTCCTTTCTGCAGGTAGGACAGATGCAGGATTCTCCATCACTGTCTTTCTTCACCCCACTAAGGACAGGATGGTGGCATTTATCTCTAGACTGCTCCCATGGAGATGCCATTCTGCTCTGCCTCGTTAGTGGGAAGGAGAGAGGAACGTACCCACTTTTATCAGCCCAGGGTGTTCAAGTGATCCTCCCCCACTATCCTTAGATCTGTTTCTCAGGAGCTTGAGGGGAGAGGTGGGGGTAGCAAACCCATGGTGTGTGTTTGGGACCCAGGGCACTGCAGGGAGGGCCTCAGGTTTTCCATCTCCATTCTCTTTTACTATTAGTCCCACTCCTGTCTTCTTGCACCCCACCTCACCCAACCCTTCTCCTCTCATCTTAGGGGTTGGGTAGTTCATCTATCCATTGTTAGAATTTTATTACTCTATTATTGCTGGTCTTACTTGGGCTGGCTGAGAGGTCTCATAGGGAATGGGGATGACATAGCAGACCTCAGTATTAACATCCCCATTTCCCAAGTCTTCTTTCAGTCTAGTATGTACTGAAGGATGAAGATTTTCTGTGCTGTTCCCAGGCCCTCAGACTGTCCTGTCACTCTCTGCTCCATCCCAACAGCATTCCCCTTGTTCATTTCTCATAAATGACTCTGGGGATAGGAGTGGAGGAAATAGAACTCTGAAGTGGTTGTCAGTGCTGGTGGGATGCAGTGGTCTGTAGACTTCTCCCTTTATTAAGTAGTCATTCAAAAGCTGCTGCTACTGCATCTCTGTGCCCCAAGGAGGCACTTGTGCCTGTGGTCCTGGCCTGGGTCCTGACCTCTGCGGTTTCTGTGAAGCCGTGGCTGCTCTGTGGACTCCTGAGTGTGCTGGCTGCGCCCTGAGCTCCAAGACGGCCTCCCATATCCTTTCTCCAAAGGTCAGGGCCCAGGCTCTTTCCACAGCGTGACTAAGGGACCCCTTCTTAGAAGGGTTGTCCCAAGCCCCACCTCCATGGAGCCAGGCTTCCCATCACCTTTGTCTAAAGCAGGCAGGTCAGTAACTCCATCACTCCACTCCACATTGAACTGTGAAAGAGAAGTTCCGGGGCATCTCCCTCAGTGCCAGTTATTTAGTTCTGTGTTGCTTACCCAAAATGCAGTGGGTGTGTGCAGGTATCTTGCTCTGTGTGTGTGTGTGTGTCTGGTGATAGGGGTGGGGCTGGAGGTCCTCTTTTGTTTGAAAATTATTTGCTTTCATGACCCCACAGAGCCTCCCCTCCACACTTTTTCTTTTCCTCTGATTTCTTTCATCATGCCCCTATTTGTTCTCCCTAAACGTTTCCCTTTACCTTCTCAACTCATTCACTGCTACTGCCCGATTGTCTTTCCTATCTTTGTTTCTTCCCTACAATATGTTTCCTACTTTTGTTTCTTTCCCCACTCTATCTTTGTGGTTAGTGAGGTCTTTGCCTGTTCTGCCTCACTGCCTCTCTTACCCTTCCTAGTTAGATGCCGGTCCAAAAAAAAATCGGTTTTACTCATTTCAGGTTTCCACCCGACTTTTGTTTTGTGGTGGTCCAAGGACCAATTTGGGGCTGAGGGTGTTAGGAAGCAGCCTTGGAAGTTGGCCTTGGTTCCGGTCTGCCCAGCAGGGGGCAGAAAGTGATCTTGGTAGTATCCCTGGCTGCTAGACCCTTGGCAGGGCCATTCCCTGTGGTAGGGGGCAGCCCATTCTGCATTCCCATTTGCCTAACAGCTAGCTTGTTTGGGATTGGGCATTCCATTCCATTCCTGTCCACTCCCTTTCCCTCCTCTCCCTTTCTGGTAGGGTTAATTTTATGCTTTTCCTTGTTCAAATTTCTTCTCCCTGGGGACGCTCCCCCCAAGTTTGTTAGTGGTGTTACAGTGGTAACTGCAGTTCTGAACTGGTTTTTCTTTTCTTTTTTTCCTCCTCTGGAATGTAGACTGTGTATGTTTAATAACTCACCTTCTCTATCCTTGCTCAAATGTGGGATACGCAATGACTGTGACCCTGGTTGGAAATTAAACTTGTTTTATGCAGCTTTGGAGCAGACCTTTGTCCTTGATGTGCAGCAGCTATGAGCCAGAGTTTCATGGTGAGGGCAGTTCTGTCACTGATTCTTCTCTCAGCAGAGGGGCAAGGGGAACACTTGATTTGGGGGAGAGAGGTTATGGAGAAACAACGGCCCATCTCCACACTGCTTGCTTTTCCCCTACCATATCCCAGAGAGGAACTGAAATGAATTGAGCTCCAGAATGTGAGGACTTTCTGACTTTGCTTCTTCAGTTCTAAAGGGTTTAACTCTGAATTTAGCCATACAGTGAAACCTGTGAGAGCCAGAACTCTACAGGGTTGCCTTGTGTTTCCAGGTCTTATGAGTTTTCCACCTTTGACAGGGTACACTCTTAACCCTTTCCTTGGGACAATATTTTAATTTTCCTTTTTCTGACAGGTTTTTGCATTACATTGGTTCCAGCTTTCCAAGGTTTTACTGTGTTTATCATTTGTTGTTACACTTTAGAACCTTCAGTGACTGTCGGGCCCTGAGCTTGGAGTACCTCACGCTGCCTCCACTTTTATTTCCCCAGTTGTGCCTGCCATGTGCTTCTTATTGAAGCAGGGTTTGCTCTTTTACTGCTATAAACCTGAGGTTATTACTGAAATCCCCCTCACTTGTTTTAGTCTGGCCTTGGCAGTGAACAAGCATGAAGGGTGAAGGTCTGGGCATTCTGATGAACTAGATTCTCTTCATGACTGATGGCCCTGCAGCACCTGTACTTCAGGCATGGGGTTCACCATGGTCGCAATGCCAAGTCTCATCCAGGGAGATTCCACCAGTGTCTTGGGGAAAAGACCTGTCTCACAAAGCCTCCATCCTCCAATCCACTCCCATCACCACTCTTGGTATTACCATATGGCTCCAAGCAAAGAAAAGGATAGTACCACCATTGGGGTGGGTAAGGTCTGGGTGAGCAAGGAAGGCCCCTTTCATTACTTTGTGAAGCTTTGAGGACAGAGGTCTTCCCATTTGGCTGTTGTGGGAAAGTAGCAGGATTCAGGCATATAATACATTTGTGATCCCCAAATGCCAGTGTGAAGTATATCGTTTTGTATTAAGTTCCCTCGCGTCCCTTGCCAGTTTTCCCTGTCATCCCCTTTCCTGTTTATTAATAAGCCATTACCTTCAAGGACCAGTGCTTTTGTCTTCAAACTTCTCCAGTCAGATATCCCTTTATCAATTCCATACTCTGTGAACATTACCCATTGACACCTGAAATGAGATGAAAGTTTCTTTGTAGGCGCCTCAAAGTTCTGCTTGGCGAGTGAAATTGCTAAGTGAGGAACACTTTTCCCGACTGCTCCATTTGTAAATTATTAAGTATATAATACCTTCAAGAGAGACAACTTCTCATAAGATAATGCTAATAATTGAGACGGTTCCGACTCATAGCGACCCTGTATAGTGTTTCTGAGGGATGACTGGTGGATTTGAACTGCAGAGACCTTTCTGTTAGCAGTCCAGTACTTATCCTACAGTGCCACACCAGGACTCTCATATGACGATAAGGGAGAGAATTTAGCCTAATGGCAGGTCAGTTTTGGGAGTCTTTGGATCTCTGAACAGTTTAGAGTACTTAAGAGTATATACTTTAAAATGCCAGAAAGGAGTTGGAAGGAGCCCTCTTGTGGCAGTTGCTTAAACCTTCTTTTATGTTTTTTGGGGGGAACTTGAAGGAAGAGAGGAAAAGACTCAGCTGGAGAGAGAAATGCACCTAGCTTTTGGTCAAACAGAAACTCCATTTTTCCAGAATGTGAAAAATGCATCAGTCCACTTCAGGATATTCTGGGTAGGAGAGCTTCCAAAATGAGGCTGAGAAAGCCAGTGGAAGGCGTTGTATTGGAGAACAAATTTGGCTCCTCTTCTTTGCAGATTTTGGGAGTAGTGACAGGGAGAATGAGTGAGGTCAGAATGTATAAGAGCTTGATGTATTTTCAGAAGACTCCAGGGATTTATTCCTATTGAGATGCCCAGACTGGTCAGAGCAGAAAATTGACAAATATTTAGTACCTTGCACTTGCCCAGGCCCGTGCTAAGAAAAGTGGGCCAAGACCGAGGGATGGGCCTGGGGGTCCATTTCTGGAATGCTCTAGAATCTTTTGGGATTTCTACAGTGGGGTAGTGAGAACTGGAGTATGAGTAGGGAAATTCCTCTTGCTTCTGTTTAGTGCAGTGACTTGTGGCTTTGGGCAGGCAGTCATATTAAGAGTAGCCTTGATTCCAGCTCTGGAGGGGAGGAGAAGCAGAGTTCTCACTGTCTATCTGACCCAGTAACTGAAGGGATGGACTATCATGCTGGTCACTGGAGT